CAGTCATTAAAACATGTTGGGGAAATATCCCATTCCCACAGGTAAAAGCAATAGAGTTATTAATATCACGGAACACACATATACACACTTCATTAGGCGAGCACAGTAAATGGCGGCAAAGCAGAGCCCAGATAATGACAACAAAGAAAGAGGAGACTCCCTTACATAATAATGGTTTGTCGTCTGATAAGTGCCATAGGGAGTCCAATAGATTCGTTCAGTAAAAAAGTGCAAGGAAAAAATTTATCGAAGTGGAAAAGAAAAAAAGAGAAGGGTCAATATCCAAACAAGAAGAAAATGGCTCTTAAAATGCATCCATATCCACTCAAACAAAGATTTACTGTGCAGTTGCACCACGGGAACAACGATCAGCAAACGAGAGTGCAGCCCAGCACACACATCAGAACAAGAAGCAGCAATAAGGGACTGTGCACCAATGCAGGACTGCTGCTGCTGTCACTTAACTGTGTAATATTCAAATGGATTGAAGCTGAAGAAGGAGAATTAGTTGGCATATTTTGTGATTGCGGAGTCTCACTAGCAGTAGAGGAATTAGTTGGCATATTTTGTGATTGCGAAGTTCCAGTAGCAGATGAGTTACTGTCAGTTGGAGGATTGCTCTGAGAATTTCGATTTTCTTCTTGTGTTTCAACATTGCTTTCTTTATTATTTTGGCCCTTAGAGTCCTGTTCATTCTGCTGCTGTTGGGCAGTTGTATGGCTTCCCGCCTCAGCTTGTGCGGAATTGGTATTCTGGTTTCTTGTATTTTCTTCATTCTGTTTATTTGGAAGTGAACCGTCCACCTCCTTATTTTCGTGTGATGGTGTCTCCTTAATTTCTCGTTCCAGCTCTGCTCTTATGTGTGGATGATCACGGAAAATATTATCAATAATTTTTTGAAGACTGGCTGCTGCATCAGAGGCATCTTTCGCCTGTTTCTGGACTTCCTCCACCACCTCGGTGTTACTTTGAATGTCGTTATCGACAAGTTGAAGGAAAGACTCCACATCCTTCGCTTGTTTCTTGTACTCTTCAGCCAATTTCTTTTCTTTTTGATCTTCCTCTGAGTGACCCGTTTCACATTTTTCAATGTGTTTTTCAGCAACTTCCTCAACTTGATATGCCATAAACATCAAAGGTTCACTCCCCTTCCGTATTTCTTCAACTAAATCATTTGATTTTTTAGCCGTCAAAATCGCCTTTTCAGCGGCTTCTTTGGCCTCTTTTGCTGCATCTACTGCCTTCCTGAACAACTCTTTTGATTTACTCTCCTTCTTATTCACATTTTCAAACATAAGCATATCAGGAGTTAAAATAGGCAGGATAAGTTCTTCAACTTCCCACGCCTTACTTGCTGCACTCTTAGCACGCTTCAAAGCTTCAGGGGATTCACTCTTTATGTTTCTTAATGCCAGAAGTTTACCATTAAGATTAGCTTTATCCTCTTTCATCTTAGTTGTCAGTTCTTCAAGTTCTTTTAAACCCCGTGCTGTCTCTGTTGCTTCACCGGTTGAAGATTGTTGCGCATATGCCACACACACACAGCACTGCAGAAGTACCAACAGGTACACCACACGGCGCAGTTGGACGAACATCGTTGTCATGATTGTCACTGTGGGTTGCTTGGGTCTGTGGTAACAAGGAAGAAGAGAGAAAAAAAAACAAAGAACACAAAGAGCAGTGCAAACACAACATCTATACACAGACACACAGGAAAAGCAGCGCAGTGCATGAAGCAGAAAGAAGAATAAGGGAAAAGAAAACAAGAAGAAATATTCCCATCAGATGCAGAAC